GACAAAAATAAAAAGTTATAAGACTTTTAAGAATGTGGATTTTTGGGTTATCTTTGGCGCCCCCTAGAACCTAAACCGTGGGGTGCAGCGTCATGATTTGTACAACTTTTAATGGCCATGGGGTGTAGATTGGCCTGAGCAAATGTTGTGCCGGTGGAACGAAAGCCTTCGGAGGAGTTAGCGAAATTCCAATGTGTGCGGATCGGCAAAAAATGCGAAATAGCCCTTTAACCGTACATTATACAGATACGCGCTCTTTGACTTTTTCGTAGATCTTATTGAGATACACGTGTGTGTCAAATTTTGTGTCAATATGACAAAGCGTTCAGGCATGACACTCAACAATGTGTATTTTCACCTTAGGGGACAAGAAAAAATGGACTTTTTTCTCCTGCCATGGGGGGCGCTCTTTTGGGGAGTAAAAATTTCTTCACAAATGTGTTGATGGCTGGACATTGCATCATCCTAGAAAAACTTGGAGGCCAGTGAGGACAAAAATAAAAAGTTATAAGACTTTTAAGAATGTGGATTTTTGGGTTATCTTTGGCGCCCCCTAGAACGTAAACCGTGGGGTGCAGCGTCATGATTTGTACAACTTTTAATGGCCATGGGGTGTAGATTGGCCTGAGCAAATTTGGTGCCGGTGGAACGAAAGCCTTCGGAGGAGTTAGCGAAATTCCAATGTGTGCGGATCAGCGAAAAATGCGAAATAGCCCTTTAACGGTACATTTGACAGATACGCCCGCACTGACTTTTTTGTAGATCTTATTGAGATACACATGTGTGTCAAATTTTGTGTCATTTTGACAAAGCGTACAGGTGTCAGGTGAGTTTTCACCATAGGGGGCGCTATGGAGCCATTTTTCATTTTTTTGTTTGGGCGACTTCAGAATATCGAATTTTTCACCAGGCCCGGTCGTCCTGCCAAATTTCCTGAGTTTTCGCCAGTGGGAAGTGGGCCATTTTCCAGTTTAAAGCGGAGGAAAAATAACGAAAGAAGAATCCATCAGGAACAAGAGGGCTCTCGCAGCTGCTTAGCAGCTACGCTCGGGCCCTAACTAGGACCCCGTTGGGGCACTGGCGGGCCCGAGCCGTGTCGTGTCCCCCCCCCCAACGTGCTGCCTCCCCGTCCCATTTGTGTCCTATGGCCATCGCCCTCTCTGGTAACGCCCATCACTGCAAAGACCCTTTTCCTTCATCGGCGTTTGCTGTTCTTCCTGCCAGTGCGTGTTGCTTTCACTTACACTTGCCACAGCCAGCCTCGTGAGTGCCTAGCCTATTGGATATCACTGTCACCTACACAGGACAGTCATTACCTTTCTATTAATACTTTGTGTTTTAATATCACATTAATTTCCATATTGTATAAACGACTGGAAAAAACTTGAGCCCCTGCCCCTGTATAATCATGTGCATGTCTCTGTTCTAGCTCCAAGGTGAATCTTCACTGCTCATGTTCTCCTCAGAAGCACTCACCTCACTCCCCTCAGGTTACTGTACACATGCACCAACTGCCTGCTTCAGGTTTGGATGGAGCTTCATGGTTGTCTTTTGGAGAAATGACCAGTCAAGTTGTGTTTGAAATTTGATTTTTTTCAGGGGCAAAAGGAGCCTCTGCATTCTTGTCAAATATGTAAATAGCATGTTTTTGCAGGTGCTAAAATCCAGACTCTGAGTGTGTGTGTGTGTGTGTGTGTGTGTGTGCGTGTGTGTGTGTCTGTGTGTGCGTTCAAGTCACATGACATATTTAACCGGATGTAGCTGCAAGACGGAGCCTCCTTGACTCTCCGTTTCAACTTATCTCAAAAGTGAGGACCTCAACCTATATACCAGTTTTTAAATTGTGTTGATAGGCCAAATAAAACCAGAGTTATGATAAATTATGTCCCCGATACTTTTTTTCTGCTTATTTTGATCACGTTCGGCGCTCGATCGCGCTGTATGAGACAGGAAAACATAGCATGCAGACATTAGCGACAGGTCTTACAGGCGGAAAAGGCTTGCCAAAAGAAAAAAAAAACACACCACAACATCTCTCCTATTGGTGGAAAACTTCACCACAACAACCAATCCAAAATTATATGGTGACTGATTGACAAGGGGAGGGCGCTTACGTTCTTCCTGCAACATGAGAAGCGAGGGAGGGACTCTCAGCAGGGATGCAGTCTGGGACACGTAGTTGCAAACCTAGCGACTTTGTTGTTAGATTCAATGACTTTTCAGACCCCCTAACGACTTTTTTTTAGAAAGAAAGGGACTTTTATCGACTTCTTCTGGAGTTTAGAGACTCTGACATGAAGCAGGCGTTCCTTACTGAGGAGTTAGCAACGCTGCTAAGGGTGCAGAGCCACACATGCACTCAGAGCTCTGCATGGGAGACTGAAGCTGACAGAGCTGCAGCAGTTAGCAGGTTTCACCCTCAGAGACCACCAGGGGTTCATGTTGAGGCATTTTAATTTTTTTTTTTTTTTTGTGCCATAGACACTGTCAGCACAATCTGCAGTTACACTAACAAAAATGCTGCAAAAAACAAAGAATTATGGAAAAATTACACATGGACTGACATAGAGGAGGATCTACACAAGTTTTTTACATCATGTTTTACATCATGCATCATTTACATCATGTTTTTTTGTAGTGGCATAAATAAAAAGTGACATTTGTGAGACTATACAGTGTTTTGTAAATAATTTTACAAAGAACGCCTGGGCCATTGCCTGCATTTTGATGTAAATAGAGGTAAATCACTATGTTCTTTGTTAAAAATTTGCATATGTTTTGAAGTTTACAATTTTTATTTGAAGTTTAAGTTTTAAAAACAGTTCGTCACACATATTTGTGGTTTTCACAGTAAAAATGTTACTTTTTTCCACTCGGATTTTATGTTTTGTGTGTGAATTTGGGTCCATTGTGTAAATTCAGTATGTCAACATGATAAAATAACTGTAAATTCGCACAGGTGAGGTTTTGCTGAAAAAAATGATACCAGGCAAGGCACGTGATTGTCAAATTTTGTGTCAATATGACAAAGCGTATAGGCGTGAATCTCAACAATATGTATTTTCACCTTAGGGGTCAAGAAAAAATGGACTTTTTTCTCCTGCCATGGGGGGCGCTCTTTTGGGGAGTAAAAATTCCTTCACAAATGTGTTGATGGCTGGACATTGCATCATCCTAGAAAACTTGGAGGCCAGTGAGGACAAAAATAAAAAGTTATAAGACTTTTAAATATGTGGATTTTAGGGTTATCTTTGGCGCCCCCTAGAACCTAAACCGTGGGGTGCAGCGTCATGATTTGAATAACTTTTAATGGCCATGGGGTGTAGATTGGCCTGAGCAAATGTGGTGCCGGTGGAACGAAAGCCTTAGGAGGAGTTAGCCACATTCCAATGTGTGCGGATCGGCAAAAAATGCGGAATAACCCTTTAACCGTACATTTGACAGATACGCGCGCATTGACTTTTTCGTAGATCTTATTGAGTTACATGTGTGTGTCAATTTTTGTGTCATTTTGACAAAGCGTATAGGCGTGACACTCAACAATGTGTATTTTCACCTTAGGGGACAAGAAAAAATGGACTTTTTTCTTCTGCCATGGGGGGGCGCTCTTTTGGGGAGTAAAAATTCCTTCACAAATGTGTTGATGGCTGGACATTGCATCATCCTAGAAAACTTGGAGGCCAGTGAGGACAAAAATAAAAAGTTATAAGACTTTTAAATATGTGGATTTTAGTGTTATCTTTGGCGCCCCCTAGAACCTAAACCTTGGGGTGCAGCGTCATGATTTTGATAACTTTTAATGGCCACGGGGTGTAGATTGGCCTGAGCAAATGTGGTGCCGGTGGAACGAAAGCCTTCGGAGGAGTTAGCGAAATTCCAATGTGTACGGATCGGCAAAAAATGCGAAATAACCCTTTAACCGTAATTTTGACAGATACGGCCGCACTGACTTTTTTGTAGATCTTATTAAGATACATATGTGTGTCAATTTTTGTGTCAATATGACAAAGCGTACAGGCGTGACAGTCAATAGTGTGAATTTCCACCTTAGGGGGCGCTATGGAGCCATTTTGCATTTTATTGTTTGGGCGACTTCAGAATATCGAATTTTTCACCAGGCCCGGTCGTCCTGCCAAATTTCATGAGTTTTCGCCAGTGGGAAGTGGGCCATTTTCCAGTTCAAAGGGGAGGAAAAAGAAGAACTAGGGCCCCGTTGGGGCACTGGCGGGCCCGAGCCGTGTCGCGCCGCCCCCAGCGCGACCGCCTACCCCTCCCGATCGCGTCACACTCAAGGTCCAAAGATGGTGTGCGCACTTGTCTGTGGTCATTTACCATTATAATGAATGGGAGGCGCAGTTTCTACCAAAACGCTCGCTGCAGACAAACTCCATGTCCTTTTTGAAAAAATTCTGGACCAGGAGTGAGGGCACAAACACAGCTAGTATATATCCAAATGGCAAGTTGCTCCTCCTTTCGGTTTTGCCGAGAGAGCGATGCGTTTGAGCCATTGAGCGATGGGCAGGAAAAACTTGACTTTTTCCCCTGCCATGGGGGGCGCTCTTATGGGGAGAAAAAATTCCTTCACAAATGTGTTGATGACTGAACATTGCATCATCCTAGAAAACTTGGAGGCCAGTGAGGACAAAAATAAAGTTATAAGACTTTTAAAAATGTGGATATTTGGGTCCTCTTTGGCGCCCCCTAGAACGTAAACCGTGGGGTGCAGCGTCATGATTTTTACAACTTTGAATGGCCATGGGGTGTAGATTGGCCTGAGCAAATTTGGTGTCAGTGGAACGAAAGCCTTAGGAGGAGTTAGCCACATTCCAATGTGTGCGAATCGGCAAAAAATGCGAAATAGCCCTTTAACCGTACATTTTACAGATACGCGCGCATTGACTTTTTCGTAGATCTTATTGAGATACATGTGTGTGTCAATTTTTGTGTCATTTTGCCAAAGCGTACAGGCGTGACACTAAACAATGTGTATTTTCACCTTAGGGGACAAGAAAAAATGGACTTTTTTCTCCTGCCATGGGGGGGCGCTCTTTTGGGGAGTAAAAATTCCTTCACAAATGTGTTGATGGCTGGACATTGCATCATCCTAGAAAACTTGGAGGCCAGTGAGGGCAAAAATAAAAAGTTATAAGACTTCTAAATATGTGGATCTTAGGGTTATCTTTGGCGCCCCCTAGAACCTAAACCGTGGGGTGCAGCGTCATGATTTGAATAACTTTTAATGGCCATGGGGTGTAGATTGGCCTGAGCAAATGTGGTGCCGGTGTAACGAAAGCCTTCGGAGGAGTTAGCGAAATTCCAATGTGTGCAGATCGGCAAAAAATGCGAAATAACCCTTTAACCGTACATTTGACAGATACGCCCGCACTGACTTTTTTGTAGATCTTATTGAGATACATGTGTGTGTCAATTTTTGTGTCATTTTGACAAAGCGTACAGGCGTGACAGTCAATAGTGTGAATTTTCACCTTAGGGGGCGCTATGGAGCCATTTTGCATTTTCTTGTTTGGGCGACTTCGGAATATCAAATTTTTCACCAGGCCCGGTCGTCCTGCCAAATTTCATGAGTTTTCGCCAGTGGGAAGTGGGCCATTTTCCAGTTCAAAGGGGAGGAAAAATAATAACTAGGGCCCCGTTGGGGCACTGGCGGGCCCGAGCCGTGTCGCGCCCCCTCCCCCCCCCAACGCGCTGCCTCCCCATCCCATTCGCGTCCTCTGGCCATCGCCCTCTCTGGTAACGCCCATCACTGCAAATACCCTTTTCCTTCATCGGCGTTTGCTGTTCTTCCTGCCAGTGCGTGTTGCTTTCACTTACACTTGCCACAGCCAGCCTCGTGAGTGCCTAGCCTATTGGATATCACTGTCATCTACACAGGACAGTCATTACCTTTCTATTAATACTTTGTTTTTTAATTTCACATTAATTTCCATATTGTATAAAGGACTGGAAAAGACTTGAGCCCCTGCCCCTGTATAATCATGTGCACGTCCCTGTTCTGGCTCTAAGGTGAATCTTCACTGCTCATGTTCTTCTCAGAAGCAGTCACCTCACTCCCCTCAGGTTACTGTACACACGCAGCAACTGCATGCTTCAGGTTTAGATAGCGCTTCATGGTTGTCTTTTGGAGAAATGACCAGCCAATTTGCGTTTGACATTTGATTTTTTTCAGGGGCAAAAGGAAGCCTCTGCATTCTTGTCTAATATGTAAATAGCATGTTTTTGCAGGTACTAAAAAACAGACTCTGTGTGTGTGTGTGTGTGTGTGTGTGTGTGTGTGTGTGTGTGTGTGTGTGTGTGTGTGTGTGTGTCTGTGTCTGTGTGTGTGTATCCTAAACACTAAACACTTCCACTACACAATTAACCCTTTCACGTATAACGGTCACTACAGTGGACAAATCTTCACTGGATATTTTCTATTATAAAAATAGGGGTTTGATTTTACAAAAACATGTTAGCAACAACAATAGACCCTGGAAAATGAGTCCAACACTGGCACCCTGTGGCCATGTGATGCAACTGCAGAAAACACACGTCAACATTTAAGGTGGCTGCCTCTGCTGAAAAAAACAAATGTATGATGTCACTAAAAATCATTGTCACTAAAAAGGATTATATTATTACACACATGCACACTCTTTGATGATCTGTGAAGCAGCTCTGAAGAGACAGTAGGAGCAGCAGAACAAAGTGTATTTGTAGAAAAGCCGTAAGAGCTGTTGAAACGCCGTTTTTTCAGGTTGAAAGGTTCACGTCTCCACCAAAGGTCAGAGGTCAAATAACATTTGAATGTCAAACTGTGACGTCACAGTCGAGGTCCAAAGATAGTGTGCACACCTGTCTTTGGTCATTTCCCATTATAATGAATGGGAGGCGCAGTTTCTACCGAAACGCTGGCTGCAGACAAACTACATGTCCTATTTGAAAAAAGTCTGGACCATGAGTGAGGGCACAAACACAGCTAGGAAATATCCAAATGGCAAATTGCTTCTCCTTTCGCTTTTGCCGAGAGAGCAGTGCGTTTGAGCCTTTGAACGATGAACAGGAAAAACTTGACTTTATTGTCCTGCCATGGGGGGGGTGCTCTTTTAACGAGAAAAAACTCCTTCACAAATGTGTTGATGGCTGGACATCGCATCATCCTAGAAAACATGGAGGCCAGTGAGGACAAAAATAAAATGTTATAACACTTTTAAGAATGTGGATATTTGGGTCATCTTTGGCGCCCCCTAGAACGTAAACCGTGGGGTGCAGCGTCATGATTTTTACAACTTTGAATGGCCATGGGGTGTAGATTGGCCTGAGAAAATTTGGTGTCAGTAGGACGAAAGCCTTAGGAGGAGTTAGCTACATTCAAATGTGTGCCAATCGGCAAAAAATGCGAAATAGCCCTTTAACCGTACATTTTACAGATATGTGTGCATTGACTCTTTCGTAGATCTTATTGAGATACACTTGATTGTCAAATTTTGTGTCAATATGACAAAGCGTATAGGCGTGACACTCAACAATGTGTATTTTCACCTTATGGGACAAGAAAAAATTGACTTTTTTCTCCTGCCATGGGGGGGGGCGCTCTTTTGGGGAGTAAAAATTCCTTCACAAATGTGTTGATGGCTGGACATTGCATCATCCTAGAAAACTTGGAGGCCAGTGAGGACAAAAATAAAAAGTTATAAGACTTTTAAGAATGTGGATTTTTGGGTTATCTTTGGCGCCCCCTAGAACGTAAACCGTGGGGTGCAGCGTCATGATTTGTACAACTTTTAATGGCCATGGGGTGTAGATTGGCCTGAGCAAATTTGGTGCCAGTGGAACGAAAGCCTTCGGAGGAGTTAGCGAAATTCCAATGTGTGCGGATCGGCAAAAAATGCGAAATAGCCCTTTAACCGTACATTTGACAGATACGCGCTCTCTGACTTTTTCGTAGATCTAATTGAGATACACGTGTGTGTCAAATTTTGTGTCAATATGACAAAGCGTTCAGGCGTGACACTCAACAATGTGTATTTTCACCTTAGGGGACAAGAAAAAATGGACTTTTTTCTCCTGCCATGGGGGGGCGCTCTTTTCGGGAGTAAAAATTTCTTCACAAATGTGTTGATGGCTGGACATTGCATCATCCTAGAAAACTTGGAGGCCAGTGAGGACAAAAATAAAAAGTTATAAGACTTTTAAGACTGTGGATTTTTGGGTTATCTTTGGCGCCCCCTAGAATGTAAACCGTGGGGTGCAGCGTCATGATTTGTACAACTTTTAATGGCCATGGGGTGTAGATTGTCCTGAGCAAATTTGTTGCCGGTGGAACGAAAGCCTTCGGAGGAGTTAGCGAAATTCCAATGTGTGCGGATCGGCAAAAAATGCGAAATAGCCCTTTAACGGTACATTTGACAGATACGCCCGCACTGACTTTTTTGTAGATCTTATTGAGATACACATGTGTGTCAAATTTTGTGTCATTTTGACAAAGCGTACAGGCGTCAGGTGAGTTTTCACCATAGGGGGCGCTATGGAGCCATTTTTCATTTTTTTGTTTGGGCGACTTCAGAATATCGAATTTTTCACCAGGCCCGGTCGTCCTGCCAAATTTCCTGAGTTTTCGCCAGTGGGAAGTGGGCCATTTTCCAGTTTAAAGCGGAGGAAAAATAACGAAAGAAGAATCCATCAGGAACAAGAGGGCTCTCGCAGCTGCTTAGCAGCTACGCTCGGGCCCTAATAACAAACTAGGACCCCGTTGGGGCACTGGCGGGCCCGAGCCGTGTCGCGTCCCCCCCCCCAACGTGCTGCCTCCCCGTCCCATTTGTGTCCTCTGGCCATCGTCCTCTCTGGTAACGCCCATCACTGCAAAGACCCTTTTCCTTCATCGGCGTTTGCTGTTCTTCCTGCCAGTGCGTGTTGCTTTCACTTACACTTGCCACAGCCAGCCTCGTGAGTGCCTAGCCTATTGGATATCACTGTCACCTACACAGGACAGTCATTACCTTTCTATTAATACTTTGTGTTTTAATTTCACATTAATTTCCATATTGTATAAACGACTGGAAAAAACTTGAGCCCCTGCCCCTGTATAATCATGTGCATGTCTCTGTTCTAGCTCCAAGGTGAATCTTCACTGCTCATGTTCTCCTCAGAAGCAGTCACCTCACTCCCCTCAGGTTACTGTACACATGCACCAACTGCCTGCTTCAGGTTTGGATGGAGCTTCATGGTTGTCTTTTGGAGAAATGAGCAGTCAAGTTGTGTTTGAAATTTGATTTTTTTCAGGGGCAAAAGGAGCCTCTGCATTCTTGTCAAATATGTAAATAGCATGTTTTTGCAGGTGCTAAAAACCAGACTCTGAGTGTGTGTGTGTGTGTGTGTGTGTGCGTGTGTGTGTGTCTGTGTGTGTGTGTGTGCGTTCAAGTCACATGACATATTTAACCGGATGTAGCTGCAAGACGGAGCCTCGTTGACTCTCTGTTTCAACTTATCTCAAAAGTGAGGACCTCAACCTATATACCAGTTTTTAAATTGTGTTGATAGGCCAAATAAAACCAGAGTTATGATAAATTATGTCCGCGATACTTTTTTTCTGCTTATTTTGATCACGTTCGGCGCTCGATCGCGCTGTATGAGACAGGAAAACATAGCATGCAGACATTAGCGACAGGTCTTACAGGCGGAAAAGGCTTGCCAAAAGAAAAAAAAAACACACCACAACATCTCTCCTATTGGTGGAAAACTTCACCACAACAACCAATCCAAAATTATATGGTGACTGATTGACAAAGGGCGGGCGCTTACGTTCTTCCTGCAACATGAGAAGGGAGGGAGGGACTCTCAGCAGGGATGCAGTCTGGGACACGTAGTTGCAAACCTAGCGACTTTGTTGTTAGATTCAATGACTTTTCAGACCCCCTAACGACTTTTTTTTAGAAAGAAAGGGACTTTTATCGACTTCTTCTGGAGTTTAGAGACTCTGACATGAAGCAGGCTTTCCTTACTGAGGAGTTAGCAACGCTGCTAAGGGTGCAGAGCCACACATGCACTCAGAGCTCTGCATGGGAGACTGAAGCTGACAGAGCTGCAGCAGTTAGCAGGTTTCACCCTCAGAGACCACCAGGGGTTCATGTTGAGGCATTTTAATTTTTTTTTTTTTTTTGTGCCATAGACACTGTCAGCACAATCTGCAGTTACACTAACAAAAATGCTGCAAAAAATAAAGAATTATGGAAAAATTACACATGGACTGACATAGAGGAGGATCTACACAAGTTTTTTACATCATGTTTTACATCATGCATCATTTACATCATGTTTTTTTGTAGTGGCATAAATAAAAAGTGACATTTGTGAGACTATACAGTGTTTTGTAAATAATTTTACAAAGAACGCCTGGGCCATTGCCTGCATTTTGATGTAAATAGAGGTAAATTACTATGTTCTTTGTTAAAAATTTGCATATGTTTTGAAGTTTACAATTTTTATTTGAAGTTTAAGTTTTAAAAACAGTTCATCACACATATTTGTGGTTTAATTTCACATTAATTTCCATATTGTATAAATGACTGGAAAAAACTTGAGCCCCTGCCCCTGTATAATCATGTGCACGTCCCTGTTCTAGCTCCAAGGTGAATCTTCACTGCTCATGTTCTCCTCAGAAATAGTCACCTCACTCCCCTCAGGTTACTGTACACATGCACCAACTATCTGCTTCAGGTTTGAAATGGAGCTTCATGGTTGTCTTTTGGAGAAATGAACAGTCAAGTTGTGTTTGAAATTTGATTTTTTTCAGGGGCAAAAGGAAGCCTCTGCATTCTTGTCAAATATGTAAACAGCATGTTTTTGCAGGTGCTAAAAAACAGACTCTGAGTGTGTGTGTGTGTCTGTGTGTGTTGGCCTGTGTGTATATGTGTGTGTATCCTGCAGTACTCTGTACTCATGCAGTGGCCAAAAAGACTTTTAAGAATGTGGATTTTTGGGTCATCTTTGGCGCCCCCTAGAACTGCAGTACTCTGTACTCCTGCAGTGGCCAAAATGACTTTTAAGAATGTGGATTTTTGGGTCATCTTTGGCGCCCCCTAGAACGTAAACCGTGGGGTGCAGCGTCATGATTTTTACAACTTTGAATGGGCATGGGGTGTAGATTGCCCTGAGCAAATTTGGTATCGGTGGGACGAAAGCCTTAGGAGGAGATAGCCACATTCCAGTGTTTGCGAATCGGCAAAAAATGCAAAATAGCCCTTTAACCGTACATTATACAGATACGCGCTCTTTGACTTTTTCGTAGATCTAATTGAGATACACATGATTGTCAATTTTTGTGTCAATATGACAAAGCGTTCAGGCGTGACACTCAACAATGTGTATTTTTATGTAAGGGGACAAAAAAAAATGGACTTTTTTCTCCTACCATGGGGGGGCGCTCTTTTGGGGAGTAAAAATTCCTTCACAAATGTGTTGATGGCTGGACATTGCATCATCCTAGAAAACTTGGAGGCCAGTGAGGACAAAAATAAAAAGTTATAAAACATTTAAGAATGTGGATTTTTGGGTTATTTTTGGCGCCCCCTAGAACCTAAACCATGGGGTGCAGCATCATGATTTGAATAACTTTTAATGGCCATGGGGTGTAGATTGGCCTGAGCAAATGTGGTGCCGGTGGAACGAAAGCCTTCGGAGGAGTTAGCGAAATTCCAATGTGTGCGGATCGGCAAAAAATGCGGAATAACCCTTTAACTGTACATTTGACAGATACACGCGCATGGACTTTTTTGTAGATCTTATTGAGTTACATGTGTGTGTCAATTTTTGTGTCATTTTGACAAAGCGTATAGGCGTGACACTCAACAATGTGTATTTTCACCTTAGGGGACAAGAAAAAATGGACTTTTTTCTCCTGCCATGGGGGGGCGCTCTTTTGGGGAGTAAAAATTCCTTCACAAATGTGTTGATGGCTGGACATTGCATCATCCTAGAAAACTTGGAGGCCAGTGAGGACAAAAATAAAAAGTTATAAGACTTTTAAATATGTGGATCTTAGGGTTATCTTTGGCGCCCCCTAGAACCTAAACCGTGGGGTGCAGCGTCATGATTTGAATAACTTTTAATGGCCATGGGGTGTAGATTGGCCTGAGCAAATGTGGTGCCGGTGGAACGAAAGCCTTCGGAGGAGTTAGCGAAATTCCAATGTGTGCGGATCGGCAAAAAATGCGAAATAACCCTTTAACCGTACATTTGACAGATACGCCCGCACTGACTTTTTTGTAGATCTTATTGAGATACATGTGTGTGTCAATTTTTGTGTCATTTTGACAAAGCGTACAGGCGTGACAGTGAATAGTGTGAATTTTCACCTTAGGGGGCGCTATGGAGCCATTTTGCATTTTCTTGTTTGGGCGACTTCGGAATATCAAATTTTTCACCAGGCCCGGTCTTCCTGCCAAATTTCATGAGTTTTCGCCAGTGGGAAGTGGGCCATTTTCCAGTTCAAAGGGGAGGAAAAATAATAATAACAAAAGAAGGAAACTACAGGAACAAGAGGGCTCTCGCAGCTGCTTAGCAGCTACGCTCGGGCCCTAAAGAAGGAAACTACAGGAACAAGAGGGCTCTCGCAGCTGCTTAGCAGCTACGCTCGGGCCCTAAGAAGAATCCATCAGGAATAATAGGGCTCTCGCAGCTGCTTAGCAGCTACGCTCGGGCCCTAATAATAACAAAAGAAGGAAACTACAGGAACAAGAGGGCTCTCGCAGCTGCTTAGCAGCTACGCTCGGGCCCTAATAACAAACTAGGACCCCGTTGGGGCACTGGCGGGCCCGAGCTGTGTCGCGCCCCCCCCCCCAACGCGCTGCCTCCCCGTCCCATTTGTGTCCTCTGGCCATCGCCCTCTCTGGTAACGCCCATCACTGCAAAGACCCTTTTCCTTCATCGGCGTTTGCTGTTCTTCCTGCCAGTGCGTGTTGCTTTCACTTACACTTGCCACAGCCAGCCTCGTGAGTGCCTAGCCTATTGGATATCACTGTCACCTACACAGGACAGTCATTACCTTTCTATTAATACTTTGTTTTTTAATTTCACATTAATTTCCATATTGTATAAACAACTGGAAAAAACTTGAGCCCCTGCCCCTGTATAATCATGTGCACGTCTCTGTTCTAGCTCTAAGGTGAATCTTCACTGCTCATGTTCTCCTCAGAAGCAGTCACCTCACTCCCCTCAGGTTACTGTACACATGCACCAACTGCCTGCTTCAGGTTTGGATGGAGCTTCATGGTTGTCTTTTGGAGAAATGACCAGTCAAGTTGTGTTTGAAATTTGATTTTTTTCAGGGGCAAAAGGAGCCTCTGCATTCTTGTCAAATATGTAAATAGCATGTTTTTGCAGGTGCTAAAAACCAGACTCTGAGTGTGTGTGTGTGCGTGTGTGTGTGTGTGTGTGTGTGTGTGTGTGTGTGTGTGTGTGTGTGTGTGCGTTCAAGTCACATGACATATTTAACCGGATGTAGCTGCAAGACGGAGCCTCGTTGACTCTCCGTTTCAACTTATCTCAAAAGTGAGGACCTCAACCTATATACCAGTTTTTAAATTGTGTTGATAGGCCAAATAAAACCAGAGTTATGATAAATTATGTCCGCGATACTTGTTTTCTGCTTATTTTGATCACGTTCGGCGCTCGATCGCGCTGTATGAGACAGGAAAACATAGCATGCAGACATTAGCGACAGGTCTTACAGGCGGAAAAGGCTTGCCAAAGGAAAAAAAAACACACCACAACATCTCTCCTATTGGTGGAAAACTTCACCACAACAACCAATCCAAAATTATATGGCGACTGATTGACAAGGGGCGGGCGCTTACGTTCTTCCTGCAATATGAGAAGGGAGGGAGGGACTCTCAGCAGGGATGCAGTCTGGGACACGTAGTTGCAAACCTAGCGACTTTGTTGTTAGATTCAATGACTTTTCAGACCCCCTAACGACGTTTTTTTAGAAAGAAAGGGACTTTTATCGACTTCTTCTGGAGTTTAGAGACTCTGACATGAAGCAGGCTTTCCTTACTGAGGAGTTAGCAACGCTGCTAAGGGTGCAGAGCCACACATGCGCTCTGAGCTCTGCATGGGAGACTGAAGCTGACAGAGCTGCAGCAGTTAGCAGGTTTCACCCTCAGAGACCACCAGGGGTTCATGTTGAGGCATTTTCAGTTTTTTTTTTTTTTTGCCATAGACACTGTCAGCACAATCTGCAGTTACACTAACAAAAATGCTGCAAAAAACAAAGAATTATGGAAAAATTACACATGGACTGACATAGAGGAGGATCTACACAAGTTTTTTACATCATGTTTTACATCATGCATCATTTACATCATGTTTTTTTGTAGTGGCATAAATAAAAAGTGACATTTGTGAGACTATACAGTGTTTTGTAAATAATTTTACAAAGAACACCTGGGCCATTGCCTGCATTTTGATGTAAATAGAGGTAAATTACTATGTTCTTTGTTAAAAATTTGCATATGTTTTGAAGTTTACAATTTTTATTTGAAGTTTAAGTTTTAAAAACAGTTCATCACACATATTTGTGGTTTTCACAGTAAAAACGTTACTTTTTTCCACTCGGATTTTATGTTTTGTGTGTGAATTTGGGTCCAATGTGTAAATATAGTATGTCAAAATGATAAAATAACTGTAAATTGACACAGGTGAGGTTGTGCTGAAAAAAATGATACCAGGCAAGGCAAGGTAAAAATTTTGTAAGAGGAAATATAAAGGTAAAATCTAAAGTAGTCAAAAACGGCCAATAGTGACTCACAGACTCCACAGACAAGTCCCTTTGGCGCCACTCAGTGGGCAAAACTACTTTGTCTACTGTAATGTATATTTGGGTCATCTTTGGCGCCCCCTAAAACGTAAACCGTGGGGTGCCGCGTCATGATTTTTACAACTTTGAATGGCCATGGAGTGTAGATTGGCCTGAGCAAATTTGGTGTCAGTGGGACGAAAGCCTTAGGAGGAGTTAGCGAAATTCCAATATGTGCGAATCGGCAAAAAATGCAAAATAGCCCTTTTACCGTACATTATACAGATACGCGCTCTTGACTTTTTCGTAGATCTAATTGAGATACACATGATTGTCAATTTTTGTGTCATTTTGCCAAAGCGTACAGGCGTGACAGTCAACAATGTGTATTTTCACCTTAGGGGACAAGAAAAAATGGACTTTTTTCTCCTGCCATGGGGGGGCGCTCTTTTAGGGAGTAAAAATTCCTTCACAAATGTGTTGATGGCTGGACATTGCATCATCCTAGAAAACTTGGAGGCCAGTGAGGACAAAAATAAAAAGTTATAAGACTTTTAAAAATGTGGATTTTTGGGTTATCTTTGGCGCCCCCTAGAACGTAAACCGTGGGGTGCAGCGTCATGATTTGAATAACTTTTAATGGCCATGGGGTGTAATTTGGCCTGAGCAAATGTGGTTCCGGTGGAACGAAAGCCTTCGGAGGAGTTAGCGAAATTCCAATGTGTGCGAATCGGCAAAAAATGCGGAATAACCCTTTAACCGTACATTTGACAGATACGCGCCCATTGACTCTTTTGTAGATCTTATTGAGATACATGTGTGTGTCAATTTTTGTGTCATTTTGACAAAGCGTACAGGCGTGACACTCAACAATGTGTATTTTCACCTTAGGGGACAAGAAAAAATGGACTTTTTTCTCCTGCCATGGGGGGGCGCTCTTTTGGGGAGTAAAAATTCCTTCACAAATGTGTTGATGGCTGGACATTGCATCATCCTAGAAAACTTGGAGGCCAGTGAGGACAAAAATAAAAAGTTATAAGACTTTGAAATATGTGGATTTTAGGGTTATCTTTGGCGCCCCCTAGAACCTAAACCGTGGGGTGCAGCGTCATGATTTGAATAACTTTTAATGGCCATTGGGGGTAGATTGGCCTGAGCAAATGTGGTGCCGGTGGAACGAAAGCCTTCGGAGGAGTTAGCGAAATTCCAATGTGTGCGGATCGGCAAAAAATGCGGAATAACCCTTTAACCGTACATTTGACAGATACGCGCGCATTGACTATTTCGTAGATCTTATTGAGTTACATGTGTGTGTCAATTTTTGTGTCATTTTGACAAAGCGTATAGGCGTGACACTCAACAATGTGTATTTTCACCTTAGGGGACAAGAAAAAATTGACTTTTTTCTCCTGCCATGGGGGGGCGCTCTTTTGGGGAGTAAAAATTCCTTCACAAATGTGTTGATGGCTGGACATTGCATCATCCTAGAAAACTTGGAGGCCAGTGAGGACAAAAATAAAAAGTTATAAGACTTTTAAATATGTGGATTTTAGTGTTATCTTTGGCGCCCCCTAGAACGTAAACCGTGGGGTGCAGCGTCATGATTTTGATAACTTTTAATGGCCACGGGGTGTAGATTGGCCTGAGCAAATGTGGTGCCGGTGGAACGAAAGCCTTCGGAGGAGTTAGCGAAATTCCAATGTGTGCGGATCGGCAAAAAATGCAAAATAACCCTTTAACCGTAATTTTGACAGATACGGCCGCACTGACTTTTTTGTAGATCTTATTGAGATACATATGTGTGTCAATTTTTGTGTCAATATGACAAAGCGTACAGGCGTGACAGTCAATAGTGTGAATTTCCACCTTAGGGGGCGCTATGGAGCCATTTTGCATTTTATTGTTTGGGCGACTTCAGAATATCGAATTTTTCACCAGGCCCGGTCGTCCTGCCAAATTTCATGAGTTTTCGCCAGTGGGAAGTGGGCCATTTTCCAGTTCAAAGGGGAGGAACTAGGGCCCCGTTGGGGCACTGGCGGGCCCGAGCCGTGTCGCGCTGCCCCCCCCAACGCGCTGCCTCCCCGTCCCATTCGCGTCCTCTGGCCATCGTCCTCTCTGGTAACGCCCATCACTGCAAAGACCCTTTCCTTCATCGGCGTTTGCTGTTCTTCCTGCCAGTGCGTGTTGCTTTCACTTACACTTGCCACAGCCAGCCTCGTGAGTGCCTAGCCTATTGGATATCACTGTCACCTACACAGGACAGTCATTACCTTTCTATTAATACTTTGTTTTTTAATTTCACATTAATTTCCATATTGTATAAATGACTGGAAAAAACTTGAGCCCCTGCCCCTGTATAATCATGTGCACGTCCCTGTTCTAGCTCCAAGGTGAATCTTCACTGCTCATGTTCTCCTCAGAAATAGTCACCTCACTCCCCTCAGGTTACTGTACACATGCACCAACTATCTGCTTCAGGTTTGGATGGAGCTTCATGGTTGTCTTTTGGAGAAATGAACAGTCAAGTTGTGTTTGAAATTTGATTTTTTTCAGGGGCAAAAGGAAGCCTCTGCATTCTTGTCAAATATGTAAACAGCATGTTTTTGCAGGTGCTAAAAAACAGACTCTGAGTGTGTGTGTGTGTGTGTGTGTGTGTGTGTGTGTGTGTTGGCGTGTGTGTATATGTGTGTGTATCCTGCAGTACTCTGTACTCCTGCAGTGGCCAAAAAGACTTTTAAGAATGTGGATTTTTGGGTCATCTTTGGCGCCCCCTAGAACTGCAGTACTCTGTACTCCTGCAGTGGCCAAAATGACTTTTAAGAATGTGGATTTTTGGGTCATCTTTGGCACCCCCTAGAACGTAAACCGTGGGGTGCAGCGTCATGATTTTTACAACTTTGAATGGGCATGGGGTGTAGATTGCCCTGAGCAAATTTGGTATCAGTGGGACGAAAGCCTTAGGAGGAGATAGCCACATTCCAATGTGTGCGAATCGGCAAAAAATGCGAAATAGCCCTTTAACCGTACATTATACAGATACGCGCTCTTTGACTTTTTCGTAGATCTAATTGAGATACACATGATTGTCAATTTTTGTGTCAATATGACAAAGCGTTCAGGCGTGACACTCAACAATGTGTATTTTCATGTAAGGGGACAAGAAAAAATTGACTTTTTTCTCCTGCCATGGGGGGGCGCTCTTTTGGGGAGTAAAAATTCCTTCACAAATGTGTTGATGGCTGGACATTGCATCATCCTAGAAAACTTGGAGGGCAGTGAGGACAAAAATAAAAAGTTATAAGACTTTTAAGAATGTGGATTTTTGGGTTATCTTTGGCGCCCCCTAGAACCTAAACCGTGGGGTGCAGCGTCATGATTTGTACAACTTTTAATGGCCATGGGGTGTAGACTGGCCTGAGCAAATGTGGTGCCGGTGGAACGAAAGCCTTCGGAGGAGTTAGCGAAATTCCAATGTGTGCGGATCGGCAAAAAATGCGAAATAACCCTTTAACCGTACATTTGACAGATACGCCCGCACTGACTTTTTTGTAGATCTTATTGAGATACATATGTGTGTCAATTTTTGTGTCAATATGACAAAACGTACAGACGTGACAGTCAATAGTGTGAATTTCCACCTTAGGGGGCGCTATGGAGCCATTTTGCATTTTATTGTTTGGGCGACTTCAGAATATCGAATTTTTCACCAGGCCCGGTCGTCCTGCCAAATTTCCTGAGTTTTCGCCAGTGGGAAGTGGGCCATTTTCCAGTTTAAAGCGGAGGAAAAATAATAATAATAATAACAAAAGAAGAATCCATCAGGAACAAGAGGGCTCTCGCAGCTGCTTAGCAGCTACGCTCGGGCCCTAAAAAGAAAAAAGAAAGAAAGAAACAAAGAAAAACCACTTAGGGAATAATAGGGCCTACGCCCGGCTGCTCTGCAGCTGGCTCGGGCCCTAAAGAAAGAAAGAAAGAAAGAAAGAAAGAAACAAAGAAAAACCACTTGGGGAATAATAGGGCTCTCGCAGCTGCTTAGCAGCTACGCTCGGGCCCTAACTAGGGCCCCGGTGGGGCACTGTCGGGCCCGAGCCGCGTTGTGCCGCCCCCAGCGTGACCGCCTCCCCCTCCCGATCGCGTCACACTCAAGGTCCAAAGATGGTGTGCGCACTTGTCTGTGGTCATTTCCCATTATAATGAATGGGAGGCGCAGTTTCTACCAAAACACTCGCTGCAGACAAACTTCATGTCCTATTTGAAAAAAGTCTGGACCATGAGTGAGGGCACAAACACAGCTGGGATATATCCAAATGGCAGGTTGCTCCTGGATACGGTGTTGCCTGGAGAGCGATGCGATTGAGCCATTGAGCGATGGGCAGGAAAAACTTGACTTTTTCTCCTGCCATGGGGGGGGAGAATGTGGATTCTTTTAAGAATGTGGATTTTTTGGTCATCTTTGGCGCCCCCTAGAACGTAAACCGTGGGGTGCAGCGTCATGATTTTTACAACTTTGAATGGCCATGGGGTGTAGATTGGCCTGAGCAAATTTAGTTTCAGTGGGACGAAAGCCTTAGGAGGAGTTAGCCACATTCCAATGTGTGCGAATCGGCAAAAAATGCAAAATAGCCCTCTAACCGTACATTTGACAGATACGCACCCATTGACTTTTTCGTAGATCTTATTGAGATACACGTGATTGTCAAATTTTGTGTCAATATGACAAAGCGTACAGGTGTCACACTCAACAATGTGAATTTTCACCTTACGGGACAAGAAAAAATGGACTTTTTTCTCCTGCCATGGGGGGGCGCTCTTTTAGGGAGTAAAAATTCCTTCACAAATGTGTTGATGGCTGGACATTGCATCATCCTAGAAAACTTGGAGGCCAGTGAGGACAAAAAGAAAAAGTTATAAGACTTTGAAATATGTGGATTTTAGGGTTATCTTTGGCGCCCCCTAGAACCTAAACCGTGGGGTGCAGCGTCATGATTTGAATAACTTTTAATGGCCATGGGGTGTAGATTGGCCTGAGCAAATGTGGTGCCGGTGGAACGCCAGCCTTAGGAGGAGTTAGCGAAATTCCAATGTGTGCGGATCAGCAAAAAATGCAGAATAACCCTTTAACCGTACATTTGACAGATACGCGCTCTTTGACTTTTTCGTAGATCTTATTGAGATACATGTGTGTGTCAAATTTTGTGTCAATATGACAAAGCGTACAGGCGTGACACTCAACAATGTGTATTTTCACCTTAGGGGACAAGAAAAAATGGACTTTTTTCTCCGGCCATGGGGGGCGCTCTTTTGGGGAGTAAAAATTCCTTCACAAATGTGTTGATGGCTGGACATTGCATCATCCTAGAAAACTTGGAGGCCAGTGAGGGCAAAAATAAAAAGTTATAAGACTTTTAAATATGTGGATTTTAGGGTTATCTTTGGCGCCCCCTAGAACCTAAACCGTGGGGTGCAGCGTCATGATTTGAATAACTTTTAATGGCCATGGGGTGTAGATTGGCCTGAGCAAATGTGGTGCCGGTGGAAAGAAAGCCTTCGGAGGAGTTAGCGAAATTCCAATGTGTGCGGATCTGCAAAAAATGCGAAATAACCCTTTAACCGTACATTTGACAGATACGCCCGCACTGACTTTTTTGTAGATCTTATTGAGATACATATGTGTGTCAATTTTTGTGTCATTTTGACAAAGCGTAAAGGCGTGACAGTCAATAGTGTGAATTTTCACCTTAGGGGGCGCTATGGAGCCATTTTGCATTTTCTTGTTTGGGCGACTTCGGAATATCAAATTTTTCACCAGGCCCGGTCATCCTGCCAAATTTCATGAGTTTTCGCCAGTGGGAAGTGGGCCATTTTCCAGTTCAAAGGGGAGGAAAAAGAAGAAAGAAAGAAACAAAGAAAAACCACTTGGGGAATAATAGGGCTCTCGCAGCTGCTTAGCAGCTACGCTCGGGCCCTAAAGAAAGAAACAAAGAAAAACCACTTGGGGAATAATAGGGCTCTCGCAGCTGCTTAGCAGCTACGCTCGGGCCCTAAGAAAGAAAGAAAGAAACAAAGAAAAACCACTTGGGGAATAATAGGGCCTACGCCCGGCTGCTCTGCAGCTGGCTCGGGCCCTAAAGAAAGAAACAAAGAAAAACCACTTGGGGAATAATAGGGCCTACGCCCGGCTGCTCTGCAGCTGGCTCGGGCCCTAAAGAAAGAAACAAAGAAAAACCACTTGGGGAATAATAGGGCTCTCGCAGCTGCTTAGCAGCTACGCTCGGGCCCTAAATATCACATAATGAAATATCAAGTTATATAACTATGATACACTCTTCGTTGGTGCAAAGTCAAATACATTTAGATCTATATTGATATATTCTGATCTATATCAGATCTGATGAGCGCATTTGGCATGCTTTTAGACACTCAATCTGACTGAATTAACACAGCTAAAACCACATTGAATTAAATTAAATATCTAGTAAATAGACACACATTATGATGTTAACGAGATGTTTAATTCGTCTCCCCCCTTTTTCTATCTTTTTCTTCCCCCTTTCTAACGCAGCTCAACCTGGACATGTATCTGTTTCCTCGGCTGACCAGATGATTTCTTTAAGTGATCAGATGAGTTCTTTACTTTAAGCCTACATACCAATATTATAATATACAGTTGCGTGAGCCAATTTTATTTTATATGCCAAGATCTATGAAAGAAACAGCTAGGCCACGGAGCGTGATGCTTCCTTGACACACAGGTGGTTCCAATTTTAATGCATATATTTAAATTTATGTAGTGATCTGTGCACACAACCCACCTTTGACACGTGGGGTTTAAATATATGCAACTTTATGTGATTGTCTTTATTTGTGGAAAAGGGTGTTTGTCTTACCAGTGGGTCCAACCTTACACACACCAAATCCATCTGTGCTTATATGGGGCAGAGTGGAGGATGCCCTGCAGCCCCTGCAGGGACACTTGTTGAGGGGCTGCCTTCTTTCGCCATCATGTGGCATTGCTGTCTTCAGACATCTCTTGATGTCTTTGACAACTGCACGAAAATTGTAATACGCCTCGCTGGTGGCGGATTTCAAAGTGAGAAGAGGAGAGGAACTGATAGGTGAAAACAGGTCTCGGCTGTGTTAAACCCACTCCACGCCTTTTCTGCTCCCTCTCCAAGACTTACGCCACTGGGAAGAGCTGAGTTAGGGAGGGGGGATACTTACGCCGGGCTGCGCTGCTCACCAAAATGTGCTTGGGCATGCCTAATCAACGCG